GAGCTTAGTTAATACTAACGAATAGTAGATAAAATGCTAACTCTGAGTGTACAAAACAGCCATTTATACAATATTTGTTCAACTGTTAAAAAGCAAACATGCTTAATGAATATTACTACACTATTATTGTTTTTAATATTTTTCAATAATACTTATAAAGGGGGAAATAATACCAGCAGTCAAAATGTATGCAAGTAGAAAAAAAATATACAAGGTAAGAATTTAAAATAGTAATATTTAACAACTATTAAATTATTTCATTGAAATATTTAATATATAAGTATATCTAAATATTAAAATTTAGATATTTTTAGATTACTTTCAGTAGTTGAAATAAAAGAAGCGTATAATCAATAATCAGAATATATTATTTTAGTTTAAATATTTCACCCCTTAAACAACTATCTTATCACCCTAGAACATATTATTTTTTTTTTATTATTATTATAAAAACTGCTAGTATAAATTATGATAACTAGAACATATTATGAAGTTGATTTTTCAAATTTTAAATTACCTAATAGTAATTTTTACAATATTCACATCTGGTTTAAATGTAAATATTCCCACAAATAAATAACTACCTAATGTATTGACAAAATTAATAGATTGAAAATAAAATTATTAAATCAATGTTGATCGATAAAGATTGTTTTGAAATTAATAATACAATATACAACCTAAATATACTCAATGTAAAAGTGAACAATACAGACATAGTACAAACTATAAGACAAATACATTTTCATTTTATTTATTATTTAAATAAGTCATTACCTAATTAACAATACAGTAGAATGCCACAAAATAGTAAACATAAGTCTATAGTCTATGAAATAAGCATCCTTATTTTGCATAAACTATTAACTAATAGTATACATAATACATAAGCAGGGCCGGTACTACTAAAATTGATACCCAAAACGAAACTATGTAATAGCATCATCCCCTTTCCAAATAATAAATTGAAATTTTTTTTTGATATTCAATTTTTGTAAGATAAAATAAATAATGATAAGAACTCTAATTCTATAAAAATATTATGGATCGACCATAGAGGTTATAAATTAAAAATATTAAATTTTAAATAAAAAGGTAGATCAAAAAATTTTTTTTATCGATTTTCAGTTTAAAATAATTATAGGTATATATAGTACTTGTTATTAGGTATAATATGTATTTAAATATTGTTGAGAGGCCACTTTAATAACAGGTGCCCTGGACCTAGACCCTGGATATCCACCCTTAGCGCTGACCCAGAGAATAAGCCTAGTATCCTATTTTGTGTCTACGCAAAATAAAATGTGTATAAAAATAATATTATAAAATTGATAAGATTTATTTGGATATTTTACTGATAAGTTATCATCGAGATAATGATACATATATATATATCATTAAAATTTTAACCAAATTATTATCACTCAACAAATTAGTAAGAACTAAGAATATTTTAATAGGTATTTAATTAAAACAGTTGCTACAATCAGTAAATTTATAAATTCCAATGATTAAAATATAAAGTACTTTAGCTGTGAAATACAGTGAATCAACAATCATTAAACTCAAACATTTACGTTAACTATAAGTATATATATATATTAGTTCACAACCTGAGCACTTAAACAATAATAAAAGTTAAATACCTGATTGATCCGAAGGGACATGATCTGGAGAGGTTGGAGCAGTCCCCTCCAAATCTGACTTGTCTTCCAATGCTCCTGCCAGCTTAATGGTCTCGTTTCTTTACAATCAAAATGACAGTCGAATTGTTAATTAAAAATAGTTACAAGAACAGAAACAAAAATATAGTCAAAGATTGAAGGAATAAAATAAAAATGAATATTAAAAAACAATTGTAACTGTAACTGTGCAATAATATTGTTGCATAAGAATGTACCAGAATTTTATCTTAAAATACTAGAAAAAACGTTCGGTACAATGTAAATAAATAGTATTTAATATCAGCTCGATAAAGTGCGTGAACTGAACATGACTGATAGACGAACTGCTAATTTGAATAGCATACGGTACGAACAAACGTTGAAAATTTAAATATATAAGTTAAACAAAAGTAACTAAACTAAAACGAAATATTTTCAATGATAAAAACAAAGATTTTCATCTTTTGTTTACATATCTATTGATTGGTTTTTAATCCCACTGGTTTTATCTTTCTGTCGGAGGCTGCAAAACGCATTCCTCAGGTATCAGGTTAGCCAACACCGGTGCTCTGGTCACTGATAAGTGATAACGAGATATAAAAACCGCAATTATTCAGAAATCAGAATACTTGGACCTTGGACGTTGGATCTAAAAGGTGTCTCACGTCTCACATTTTACTGGAGTTATAACCTTATTTGTTGAGACTTTTGGGATTAATAGCCAATCCATTTACACGTCTATATATACTCTGTAGTATTGCTCATAAATCAATAATATCAAATGCTCATTAAGATTTGAAAATTAATTATAATAAAGAAATGTTTTATTCTAGTTTATAAGTTATTATACCTAATCATAGAAAAAATTAGATACACGTCACGATTTAAGGTATATTATTTTAGGTATTCTTGTCGTATATTATGATCTACCCACTACCGCATATTTATGGTCTAGCGCGCATCTATAGTTATTTCCAACGATTCGACAGTGAAGACGATTGAGCTTTATTACAACGATGACCTAACTTCTATAATAAAACATGGGTTTTGCAAGTTGCAATAAACATGATTATAGTCACAAACATATGAAATAATTAGTTTGGTAACAGTTAGTTATAGAGTTACAGTTTACTTATTTGTTTCTAAGAAACGTAAAATTATATCTTATGTAATTTAATTTAAATAATAAAAATAATAATTTTTTATAATTTTTACTACATGTACAACACCATGCATTGTAATTACATATTTATTGATAATTATTTTTCTATATATACCTTATCCAGTTATCCAATGTACATTTTTTTTTTTTAATTTAGGATTAGATTGCATGACTTTATGTTAGTGAATTATTATCATAGTAGTGTATTATTATTTATTAAATAAACTATAATTCTACATTTATTTATTTATTCATATTTTAATAAAATATAAGAAGCATGTGGTACTCACTAGTCACTACTCGTGGTAGACCACCTATGACGTATAAAAACGTGTGGTAGATGAAGACGTCGTTGACTATGTACAGTATAGATTATGTAAAGGCCGCGATCAGAAATTTTTTTCGGAGAGGGTGCAATCGTGCAAAACTTATATAATGTATATCAATATTATACATTTACTTTACTGAATTTAGGTTTTAACATTTGGTTAAAAATAAAGAAAATAAATTAATACAACGTTAAATTATTAATACAATAATACACGCAATATTATTATTTCATGTAATCACATAATATATTATTGTAATGTATCTTTGGAAGTTGGGGAAAATAATTTAATAATATATTTTTGTTATCACATTTACTCGTTATTTACATTATATGTGGAATTTAATAAAACAATATGAGGCGTTTGTCGTCACTGTCTAGCGGACAACGGTGTATAATTATAATAATATTTTAAATGTACACAAATATAATATTTTTGTTATTAATCGTCGAGGCGTTGATAGCAGTCGTTGTCGATCAATAATATTCTATTATTAATTAGACGATAAAATAATATTTTCATATTATAATATTATGATACAAAACAGTCAATAGTCAATTTAATAAATTTTAATTTTAGCCATTTATGTTGGTATCAAAAAAAAATAATTATTTTACACATTTTTAAACTACTTATGAATTTTTTTATGATGGTGGAGGGGAGGTAAACCACTTGGACACCCCTCAGACACGACCCTGGATACGATGAAACGTGGTAAACGTAAACCGCACATGATAAGAATAGGTACCATATTTTATATTATTATTTACCTATTTTAATGA